GCAGCCCTCAACCAAAGACTGTGGCTTGTGGGTGTATAAATACCCCAGCTCCCTCACTGCCATATGGAGATGACGATGTGGCTTATGTTCTACACAGTTTTCCAGAGTTCCCAGTGGGAACAGGCCAGCACGGCCCAAAGTTCTAACTTGCTGAATAATCCACCCTTTCATGCCTTCCCTGTGTAGGCTCGCTTCCCTACTCCACTGCCCGTTTTCCTCCACCTTCCAGATAAACTACTTGCTCTTAAACCCTCACAGTCAGCTTCCATAGGAATTGAAGCTAAGATCTAAATGAAGACCAGAGAAGATCTGAAAACAAACCATTAGAGGAATATAAGCGTCTAAATGTACATATAAAACAATCACTAAGATGTAATGGTTGGTAACCACCAACTCGCCAGGGTTGACAAGAATGTGCATTTAAACTCGCACTAAATCTTTTAAGAAGCAAAACTTTTCCAGGATCATAAACAACTCTCAAGGTTTTCTCACCTTTACCAGGTGTCGAAGCCTCCCCCCTTTTATTCTAGAAGAAAACACGATCCAAATGTCTCCCGAAAAAAACCATGAGCTTAAAAGGAGCCCAAGTTTGCTTTTCTAAATCCTCTGGACTCAAACTTAGACACAGCTGTTGCCAGATTTTAGGGGGATCCTAGCTCTTTCCATTTGCAAATCTGAGCTCACTATGAAATACGATTTTATAAACTACATTTTAAGAGACCATAATAAAGACAAAAATATGTTAAAATGATCTCTTTGTATACCTCTCTCAACGTACTATGCTGCTTTTCTAAACACCGAAGAGTAGAAATCCTACCAATACATTTCGTTTTGTGTTGATTATACTATTCAAGCTTATGAAACTTTTCCTATATTGCCATTTTTTAAATGTGTCAGAATATACCACCGAGCAACCAAATAAAAGTCAAATAAAACCCCTGTATTGAATTTCTAAAACTATGACAGTTTAGCAGGATAAAGGACCAAGTGCTAAGAAAAGGGGGGAATTAGTGAAATGGCCACTGGGAATTTGTTGGTACGCCTTGATTATTTCTGTCAGTGGCCATTTATTTGCTTAAAACAGCTTTTGTGACTCACAGTTATGATAACATTTCGTAAGTATGGCGTTTTGTACAAGGAACCTGGTTCAGTCAACATTTCCAATTATCAGCCACGTTGTGGGCCTTATTAAATAAATACTCTTGAGAATATATAAACAAAAGACATTGAAGCATGTAACGGAGGGAAGGGGGGAGTGGGAAGAGATTAACCAATGAACTTACATGCATATATAAGACAATAGTGTGGGAAAGGCCTGGGAAGGGGACCGGAGTAGGGTAGACAATGGGGGGAGGGAGAGGGACATCTATAATACTTTCAAATACATTTTTAAAAAGTTTTTTCCCACTGACCCCCTCCACCCCACACCTGCCCCTGAAACATGTTCTATATTTGCTTGTTGCTTCCACCTGATTCGGGTAAAATGTGCAGCCAAGATATTTGGGACAACTTACTATTTACCTATAAACGTTGCTAAGAAAGCTGCCCCTGCTGTCCTCCATGAAGATGCATGCGTGTAAGAACACGAAGAAGCTATTTTGGGCCTGGAAGACAGACTCTGCATCTTGAGGTAAAAGCTGTTTACCTGGAGACAAAGTCTTGCCATTGCATTGGAATCAGTGTTACAGCATACACAGAGCAACAATATTCATTTATTTGATGCCTATTTGATACTAAAACTCTGGACTTTTCTTTTTCTTCCATTCAATTAAACTACATGTAATGTTTAAATTTCTATTTTCGTAGAGAGTCACTGGCAAGCTCATTTTGTATTGTTTTAAAGGCCACTTTAATATGGTTTGGCTCATATATACCATATTTGCATTAAGGTAATTGGATAAAACAGCATGGAAACTGTAATAACAACCATTACAAAAGAAACAGTAAGTGCTACCATATATTCAGTGCCTGCTGTGTGCCAGGTATTCTTTTTAAAAATATATTTTTACTGATGTCAGAGAGGGAGAGATAGAAACCTCAATGATGAGAGATAATCATTGATCAGTTGACTCCTGCATGCCCCCCACTGGTCATGTGCCCTGACTGGGAATCAAATGGTGATCTCCTGGTTCATAGGTCAACACTCAACCACTGAGCCATGCCAGCTGGGCTGCCAGGTATTCTTTAGACATACGATCTCATTTTAGTCTTATAACACATCCATGAGGTGAGTCTCATTATTATCCCTATCTATACTAATAAAAGGGTAATATGCTAATTAGACCAGACATCTTCCAGACGTCTTCCGGACATCCTTCTGGACAAAGCCACAGTGGTGGGAGCTCAGGCAGAGGTGGTTAGGGGAGAGCAGTTAGGGGCGATCAGGCTGGCAGGGGAGAGCAGTTAGGGGTGATCAGGCAGGGAGGCAGAGAGGTTAGGGGTGATCCGGCAGGCAGGCAGAGGCAGTTAGGGGCAATCAGGCAGGCAGGCAGAGGGGTTAGGGGCGATCAGACAGGCAGGCAGGTGAGTGGTTAGGAGCCAGCAGTCCCCGATTGTGAGAGTGATGTCCGACTGCTGGTTTAGGCCTGAAACTGGCAGTCAGACATCCCCCAAGGGGTCCCAGATTGGAGAGGGTGCAGGCCAGGCTGAGGGACCCTCCCCCCTCATGCACGAATTTCATGCACCGGGCCTCTAGTTTTAGAGATAAGAAAACTGGCACAGAGAGCTAAAGGACTTGCCCAAGGTCAAACCATGAGGGGTAGCAGAGCAGAGTTCAAACTCAGCACCTAGACAAGCTGTTGGTGCTAGTTTGTAGTTAGCCCTACCTGAGCCGGCACAAATCAGTTGTCTTAAGCAACTGCCAAACACATGAGAGCCCAAACCTAGATTTGTGTCTATACTTGTCCAGAGATGTTCTTAACTAATAACCTTTGTTTTACTTTCCAAGTGGCTTTACTTGTGTCAGCTTTGAAGTCAACTTCACGTCAGAGGAATCATTCATTCTGAGAACTGAGTCTAGGGGCCTGGGGTCATTTGCCAAATTCAGAGGATGCTAGAGGTTGACTGAGGGGACTCTGGAAAGGACCAGGCTATATAATAACTTATTGGCCCCAGTCTTGCCTCATTCTTCTAGTCCCATCTTCTTCTACAGCCCTCATCTACCACTGTACTAGGCTGAATAACGTCCCCCAAAGATATATCAGGTCCCAATCCCCAGGACCTATGACCTTATTTTTTTTTAAAAGGGCCTTTGCAGGTGTAATTAAGTTAAGAACCATGGCATTAAGAGATTATCCTATTATTCAGGTGGGTCCTAAATGCTATCACATTTATCCTTAAAAGAGGGAGGGGCAGAGGGAGATTTCACACACACACACACACACACACACACACACAGAAGGTGATGTGAGGATTGAGGCAGAAATTGTAGGGATGTGGTCATTAGCCAAAGAATGCCTGCAGCTCCCGAAGCTGGAAGAGACAAGCAGCGGATCCATCCCTAGAGCCCCTCAGAGAAGTGTGGCCCTGCCAACATCTTGACTTTGGCCCCGTGATACTGATTTCAGACGTCTGGCCTCCAGGACTGAGAGAACAAATGTGTGTCCTTTTAAGCCATCCAGTTTGTGGTCATTTGTTATGGCAGATGCGGGGCACTAAAATACATAACCATTAACCCCTGCCGAGACCTTATGTTCCTGCTTTGAAGAAGAAACTGAAGTGCATTTCAGTGCGTGGTTTATCAGGCCAATGGGCGTCTGGACTATAATTCAGCATTTCCCTCAGTGACTAACATCAGCATAGAACATTGCTGGTGTGCATGTCAGGAGGCGCCTCCTAAGCCACGTGTCCCTCTTTAGCTCTCGCCTGCTGCTGTTGCTTCTGCCCTGGGTCACCCCACCTGCGCAAGCATCCCAAGACCTTAGAGTCGCTATGCTCTTCTAATGAAGGGGACATGCCATATTTCAAATGTCCCTGAGGCGGTGCATGGAGAGGTCAATGATGTGTTGTGGAACTCTGTGTACTTTCTGCCTTAGGCTCACGTAACAAATGAACATTTGTTCCATGCCTCTGGCTGCTTGGCACCTCTACATACCCTCCCTATGTTAGGAGAATTTGTACATTTGCCTCCAAGGGCAGAAGGTAGAAACTACATGGCTCAGTGGTTGAGCGTCTACCTATGAACCAGGAGGTCATGGTTCCATTACCGGTCAGGGCACATGCCTGGGTTGAGGGCTCCATCCCCAGTAGGAGGCATGCAGAAGGCAGCTGATCAATAATTCTCTCACATCTTTGATGTTTCCCTCTCCCTCTCTGAAATAAATATATATATCCTATATAATAAAAACCTAATATGCAAATTGACCGAGTGGCAGAATGACCACTCGCTCAATGGCGACCCCCAATCGCCCCTCCGGTCGCCCTACAGAGGGAGGCGACCCCACAGACCGGCCTTAATCGCCAGCCAGGCCTAGGGACCCTACCCATGCACAAATTTCGTGCACTGGGCCTCTAGTGTGTGGTGTGTGTGT